TGCAGGTCTTGGTACACCATTTGTTCTTTCTACCTCAGCCTCTGCTAAGACATCAAAATGGGCAAAAGAATGAACCAACTTGAACAATGTATGAACATAAATGGACCAACATGAGTATGGTGTAAAAGATGAAATGGAAACAGCATATTTTTTTTCTTTTTCTGTTTATGTGTGTGTGCGTAACTCCATCATGATCATAAACTATCACATCAACTCAGAAAGGTAAAGAAGATTTAGTAATATGAAGATGTGTAAACATAAGTAGAATATAGTGTTTCTGTTTCATATTAGACACATTTAAAACAGAAAGGCAGTCCATATTTCCTTGATCAGCAGTAGTATTATTGTCAATTCTGCACCCTATATGCATCCTACTGATTAGTTAGGCCCCAGCAAGGTATGGAGCCAATTATAAAGGATTACAATACTCCTATTAGTTAGCTTGTTTTAGGAATACCTCAACAATAACATTCCTTTTAAACTATACTAATTGTTAGCGCTATAAACGAACTGAACGAACATGAACAAATGTGAAGACAATAGGAACATAAATTAGAATATGTGCATTTTGGTACTATGTGTGGATTTTTTTTGGCCCATATATTCACATCGATAGACGTCGCCCCAAAATAAGGTAGCAATCGTTATGAACGTTTTCATACATGGGCCAACGATGAACCAACGTGAACAAGCTATGATCTGTTCATGAACCAACATTAACCTCATAAAACAATTACCGTGTGTTGTGCACACACATTATAAAACAATTACCGTGTGTTGTGCACACGTACGGTTTGAATGTTCATATGATAATCAAGTGAGTGGGACCCTTGATGCATACGCGGCCAAAGAACCGCAAAATTTTTAAATTGTGCATAGCAGTTAACCTGGTGTCCTGCTTTTTTACCATAAACGGGTATGCATGTTTGTGAACAAACATGAACCTAGTTATAAAATCGTTTAACAAAAACTTTAAATAATCGAACAACAAGAAAAGGGTTCATTAATTGTAACATTAGAAAAGTTTACCAGTGGGTTCCTGGGTATTTAGGATTTCCAAAACTTTGTCTTTACTCGAGCCTTGTGCAGGTCTTGGTACACCATTTGTTCTTTCTACTTCAGCCTCTGCATCGACATCAAATGGGCCAAAGAATGAACCAACATGAACAAAATATGAACATAAATGGACCAACGTGAGTATGGTGTATAAGATGAAATGGAAACAATATATTTTTTTTATTTTTCTGTTTATGTGGGTGTGCATAACTCCATCATGATCATAAACTAACACATCAACCCAGAAAGGTAAAAAAGATTTTGTAATATGAAGATGTGTAAACATAAGTAGAATATAGTGTTTCTGTTTCATATTAGACACATTTAAAACAGAAAGGCAGTCCATATTTCCATGATCAGCAGTAGTATTACTGTCAATTCTGCACCCCATATGCATCCTACTGATTAGTTAGGCACCAGCAAGGTATGGAGCTACATTTAAAGGATTACAACACTCGTATTAGTTAGCCTGTTTTAGGAATACCTCAACAATAACATTCCTTTTAAACTATACTAATTGTTAGAGCTGTAAACGAACTGAACGAACACAAACAAATGTGAAGACAATAGGAACATAAATTAGAATATGTGCATTTTGGTACTATGTGTGGAATTTTTTGACCCATATATTCACATCGATAGACGTCGCCCCAAAATAAGGTAGCAATCGTTATGAACGTTTGCATACATGGGCCAACGATGAGCCAACGTGAACAAGCTATGATCTGTCCATGAAACAACATTAACCTAATAAAACAGATACTGTGTGTTGTGCACACACATCATAAAACAATTACCGTGTGTTGTGAACACGTACGGTTTGAATGTACATGAACCAACATATAAGTTGTCATAGTGAAAGGGTGCATTTGATTTGATCTAACCACAGACACACACACGGATCTCCAATGGCATGTCCCCATTGATGTAAGACTAATTGCTTACTTGATTGAACATTTGTGCTTCTACCATTTGATATGAACATAAATGTTCATATGGCGGACGGAAATGAACAAATATGAACACGATACGAACATGCATTATAATATGTGCATTTTGGGACTATGTGTGGATTTTTTGGCCCACATAGTTACATCCATAGACGTCCCCCAAATTAAGGTAGCATCCGTTATCAACGTGTTCATACATGGGCCAACGATGAAACAACGTGAACAAGCTATGAACATAATACATATTTGACCAAAATGACAATAATACATATTTGACCACATACACTATTGCATCATGTAGATAGTGATATAAATTAAAACCATTACATTTAAAACGTATACGACTATTACAATTCAACTTAATTTTGTGTTTCCTATCACAAATATGAAGCACTATGACCACTTATATCTGAATAGGGATCGGGGACATGTTATATACATGAGACCAATGACAAACTTACGAACACATATTGTGTCATATGATCAATTGCGTAACTTAACAATATTAGTTGACGCACACGTACGGGTTGAATGTACATGAACCAACATATAAGTTGTCATATTACGAAGATGCATTTGTTTTGATCTAAGCACAGACACACACGCGGATTTCCAATGGCATGTCCCCATTGATGTAAGACTAATTGCTTACTTGATTGAACATTTGTGCTTCTACCATTTGATATGAACATAATTGTTCATATGTGCATTGGAAATGAACAAATGTGAACACGATATGAACATGCATTAGAATATGTGCATTTTGATACTATGTGTGGATTTTTTGGCCCATATATTCACATCCATATACGTCCCCCAAATTAACCATATACATGGGCCAACGATGAACCAACGTGAACAAGCTATGAACATAAAAGAACCAACGTTAACCTTATAAAACACTTACCTTGTGGTGAGCACACATATTAACAAACCTGATTGCTTAATTACCAATTGTGCATTCTTGTATGAGTGATTAATTACAAATTGTGCATGTAATTGGGTGTTTAATATCATATGTTAATGTGTTCACACAAGTCATTAACAAAGACATCATTCCAAATATTTGAAACAGTGCATGTTATCTAGTTCACATGATATTAGACTATCTACATTTTAACTTGTTATCCTGWTTATTTATCATAATCGGGTATGCATCTTCGTGCACTTGCCCCCAAATATGATCAYATATCGACCCTTACACACTATATGTAAAAAAATTTGAAAAAAACACCCTATAAATTTAAAATCAGTAGTGAACAAACTTGAGCATATTTAGGATTTCCAAACCTTTGCCTTTACTCGAGCCTTGTGCATTACTTGGTACAGCATTTGTTCGTTCTAACTCAGCCTCTGCATCGACATCAATTGGGTTGTCGATGGTGTTCTTGAAGTTTGAGAAGTAGGTTTTCATCATTATTCTTTCGCTTTTCTTCCTCACTGAAGCATAAAGATTTGATGTCATTGAAATATAATACTAATCAAACGATGATAAAACCCTAATTTTTGTTGACATACCTCTTCTTTGATGCTGATTAACGGGAAATCCTCTAAAATCAGCCATTTTCTTGTGAAGATGATGAACCTGATTTTCAGCCCCGTTATGAGAAGTGATGAGCGACGTTTTTTTGGTAAAGGATTTTTGTAACTGTTGATTTGGTAATCCAGCGCCTATTCTTTGTACTTTTCTTCCCAAAATACCCCCTTCATCATTGTTCACTAGTCTTAATTGAAATTAAAATTTTAAAAATTAAATCTTTTTATTGATTAATTTACAGCCATTGATTACAAATTTGGATGACCAAAATTAGATAACAAAGTTAACACGAAAACAAGGGTTACATTTGATATTGGCCCTATATATATATTATAAAATGTTACCTTCCAACTCTCGGCATTGATTAATCTTAGTTACGATTGAAATTGATTCTTATAATTCTCGACCAAAATATTTTTCTTCTTATTACTTCAACACATACCTTCTTGCCCTCACTTAGCTAACTGCTCGTAATGGCTTTGGTCAGCATCAACAAACACGAAGCCACATACGAGTCTTCATTGGTTGTAGTTTTATATCCATAACCAAAAACTCTTTCACACACTCCAATGGACTTCATAATCGCTTGGATTCTAAAGGTTAAAAATTCTTCTAGGTCTCAAGTTTAAATCCAAGGAGAAATAAAAAATCTCTTGTGACCACGAAGGTTCAAATCCGATAACTCCGGACTATCCATAAAACGGATGGTCGCATTGAAATTAATCGGCTTTCATAATGAGTTGGATATTCAGGTTAATTGAAAGAAAAAAAACAACGTCCTTCATGTTAACCAAGGACAAATGGTGGTGGTTAATTTATAACAATATGATACATTGTCATTACAAAAAACACCTTCTAAAAGTTTAAAGTATCATAAAACTAGTCAAAATATTAAAAAATTCCATTAAGTGAAAGACATTTTAGTTTTTTATCGATTTTTTATCCAATCAAAAATTACAAAGGCCAAAATCATTAAATCAATTTTGATCGGGTAAAAGACAAAAAAAATTAATAAAATGATGAAAATACCCTTTATTTAACGGAAATTTTTAACGAACTTTAGAGGAAGAGACCAAATCCGAACATTTTTGGAAACCACGATGGCCACCTTGTAATTTCAAAACTGCATAAATGAAAAAAAAAAGTTATTTTCAACAAACTATATGAACCAAATTTGTAGTTTACTCTATTAATTATTATTGATGAACTAATCAGTTTTTAGAAACTTTGATCAAGTATTTTTTTTTTCTGTAAATAGGATGGTATTTGATAATAGAGTGACAAAAAGAAAGATGTCTTGATGACATATAAAACAAACTAGTATTTTTCTTTTAGCTTATATGGTCGTAAATGCTACATGTACGCATAACCCCTTTTCAGGGTTTTTCTTTTATATCTTATCAATCATTCAAAGTAGTGGTGGCTTACAAAGGACTAAAAAGCGAGTAACGGACAAATTAGAAAAAAGATCGTTTAAAAAAGGACCAGTTGGACATAGTGGTGTAATGTAACTCTTAACAATTTCTGATCTCGGTGGAATTTAAGCCAAATCTAGAGCTACACGGATGCAAGTTGACCATTGATGAAAATGATCTCATGGAGGATACATTTTGCTTCTTTAACAATGATGTTTTGTTGAATTGAGGTTGTGTTTTTACGTCGTGATCCTCATTTTCTGATGCAAATTGCAAAGTTAAGGTTTTGGATTTCTTTGATATCCGTCCTATGCTAATGTTTGATAGTTGGAAAGCTCGGTTCTTGTTCTTTGAAGATGAAAGAGTCGAAGCTAGAAGATTTCTTCGTTTTCTGGTGTAGGCATTCTCTGGTTTTGCTATGTCTTTAATTGATGGTGGTGATGAGGGCCACACATCGGCTAAACATGTGAATGACCTTGACTTCCCATTGTAGAATGTTGATATTCCCCGTCTGTTGAAAAAAGTGTATGTCATTAGTTTTTGTAATTTTGTTACTATATATGTGCATGTCAACCAAAAGAATGTTGGCCAATAAGCTAACGATTACTCTTGGCTACTAAGTTGCTATTAGCTAATAAATAATCATGTTTGAAAAAAAAAATTGTTGATAAATTAGATGACAATGTAAAATGAACTAAAATAACATTTTAAAAAGTTAATAGGAAAAATATGAAAAACATAATTAGAAAAACCCTATAAAGCTTATTGAAACGGTACTATCATATAAGTTAGTATATTGCTAACGAGACGAGAATTTTTCAATAAATTTAAACAATGAGGTATCTTATGGTTGCCAAACATCTCCTTTAGCTATATATACTTCATTCGTCTCAAAATAAATGTCCACAATGAAAATGACATACAGTTTTAAATCAACCAAAGACAATTTTACCCTTAATAATCGAGTAAGAAATTTTCTTCATCTACAAAAAGTAAAATAGGAAAGAAAATATTTACTTTTGAAAGTGAGCAATTATTTCATAACTAACCAAGTAACACGTGTGCCATTAATGGCTTATGATATGGTATCGTTGTGGGTTCAGAAACCTCATCATCTTTACAAACCAACCACCAAGGTACAAGTTAAAAGAGCAGGTGTACAAGGGGTGATTTCGGTATCATTCTAATGTCTACATCCTATGTTCTCTTCACGTAACTAAGTCCATAGTCAGAGTTAGAGAACCACATCTTAAGAGTTGTGATTCAAATTGGACCAGCAAATCGATTGATGATGTGGACATATGATTCATGGATGTAATTTAAACCTACCCACAGAAAAGTTGCACCTATTCACATTAAACCACTCACAAAACATAGCTGTTTTACTTTCTTTTGGTCCCCTTTATCTTATCCTTTTATCTTTATCTTTTACTTTATAAGCATAATAAACAAAAACAGGATAATACAAGTCCCACAATGTCCCTTTCTCATGTTCTCTCTATAGCTAGTCTTATTGTTGATGCTTTATTTTTAATATAATATATAATAAAGTTTTTAAGATAATATTTAAATAAAGACGATATATTTCTATGAAAAAAAGGATAAGTATTTTTAGGTTGTGATTTATCCCACGTTCAAAATTACCTATCCACGTATGGTTTGAATATAATTGGATAGTTTTTAGGTGTGCCACGCGGTCCAAATGTTCACGTGGGACTATGGAAAATGTTCTATTGCAATACTATTCGGGTAAGATTAATTTAAAAAGGAAAAAGAAATTATGAACTACGACAAATGTAAATGTTGTTTTTGTATTGATCATATGAGTTCTGTTTGAAGATTTATCAAAAAAATATAGAAATTCCAATTGAAATCGTTTGCAGGTATTTGGGATGAGAGAGTATACCAATGTAGGAAGACAGCACATCCCTTTCATTCACCCGAACTTTTCCTAATTTTCATCCTTATCCATTGAGATGATCAATGAAATGCGTTCCTAAATTCTAGGGTTAACTAGAAGAAACAAAAGTGGATGCAAACACTAATTTGTGCCTATAATTCCCTGATCGATAGCTACAAAATTTGCTAAGGATATTATGAATTAATTACACAAGAATCATCGTTGATTAAGATGCATATGGCATAAACTTGATCATGGCAAACGAAGCAGTAGAAATTGAATCATCGTTGATTAAGATGCATATAACATAAACTTGATCATGGCAAACGATTAGTAGAAATTGAATCAGAAGAAACAAAATTAAGCACGTATTTGTTATCAACACATCTTACCAAAGCAGAACACCTTCAATCCTACCACAAGTATTATTTCCAGACCTTTCACAAACATAAGTTAACGAAGGAGAAGATGAAAACGAACCTAATCGGCAGCGCTTCTTCCAGAGCTTGAAGTGCATCATCGAGAGATCCATTGTTGATTTTGTTGTTATTATTGTTGTTGTGATGATCATACCTATAAGGACTCTCAGCATCCCCTTCGCGATCATCATCATCGTCGCTATTGTTGCCAATCGACGAACTGCCGGACGAATTACAATCTTCTTCTATGATCCTCATGAACTTCGTTGCCCCAACGGTTCCTAAGATTCCTCCATCTCCTACTCCTCCATGGTTAGTCATCAAAGTCTCCGGCGAAGGCATCAACGACATCCGGCAACCACCACCAACTCCTTCCAAATTAAGTTTCATCCGATCGATCTAGTGAAACAAATGCCAGATTTTACAAATATCGTAGATGAAGAACCAACAATGGGTGTTCCCGTTTAGAATTCACAATCGGTGTGTGAATATATACACATATATATATTGAGATTATCTCTCTTTTATCTACTTTGTCTTTTTATGAAATTAGCCCCCCGTTTAATTTGATTAGGATGTGTTTGATATTGCTTATTAAACCACCTATCAATTTATTCTTGTGATATATTGGTAATAAGCATATTTAAGTATTTGGATAAATAATTTATATCGGTGTTAAACCGGTGATAAGAAGTTTTTGAAGAAGTTAAACTATTAAAACTTATAATAAGTTGATAAATATTTTTGTAGAAAAATATAAGTTGTTTCAAATAAGCAATCCCAAACACAAATCAGTGTTATTTATATCAAAATAGATCAAAATCTTGAGGTAAATTAATAAAAGAGTTGGGTATTTGGGTTCAGGCGAGAAACATAAGTAGGGATCTACATCCTTGGACACATATTAAGATGAGAGATGTACCGGATCAATCCCTCTATCAAGCATGATTCATAGACGAGTTCGTGATTAAATATGATCAAGGGTTTAGATCTCTTCTCACGTTTCTCACCTTAACTATCTTTCTCACATGATCATCATTAACAAAAATGATGATTATACCATGGGTTAAATTTTTAGTTTGAAGATTATTAATTAAAATCAAGAGTCAATTAAATTACAAGTTTCATCCGTGTGTTATATGAAAATTTGGATACCAAGTCCTACAATCGAAATAATTGCAGCGATAATAACTATGATTTCATTTTTGTTATTTTGAGGTCTCTTGACCTAACTTCATTAGCATAAACTCCGTTAAGTCTGGACATTTTAGTCACTTTACTCATTTTCTTTTAAAAAAATATAAATCAATACATACATATACACATAGAAACCATCTCCCAATGTGGTATGACATTTTTCATATTATTGCTTGTTAATGTACATCAACAAAAAGCATAATTTTTAGGAGGGTATGTGAGTTTATTTGTTGCATTTGCTGTATATAAACATTATATACTTAAAAAAAAGCATAATTTTCTGGAAAAATCACCAAAATAACCATTTCATATCTTCTACATTAAGAAAATAACCATTTCTAAGCAAAATTGCCAAAATATCCACCCAAATCGCCCTTAGGGGGCGATCCAGACATATGGGGGCGATCCACGTCACCTCCATCACCCTCCGGGGCGATCCATGCTAGAATTATTATTTTTTTTATAATCTTTTTTTTAATATCGATTAAGGGGTGTTTTTAATTAAAGGGTGTTTTTAGTAAAATGAGACGATATTTGAACTGTTTTTCTAACCTTTTTTCATGGTTTTATTATATAAAATAAAATAACTTCTAGTCTCACAACCCGTAAACCTTATAAAAATACTATTGTACGTGAAAATTTTTATAAACGCATTAATCATATATATTTTTCTTATAAGAAATGTTGATTTTCCCTATTAATTTTGGAGACGAAAAAAAATTATTTGTATCTGATTTGGTGGACAAAAATCAGATATTTTATGTTAAATCTTATTTTGTCTTTTAGTGCAACAAATTTCATTATAAATATCAACCTCCTATTTCATTTCTCTTCTCATATATTCTACTATCACAACCCTTAACCCTTCAACACAATAAACCATCACAATCCTTAACCCATTAAACACAATCAACCATCACAAAACATGAAATCACGTCAAAGTGATGATGTTTTCGTGTATCTTCGAAGTGGCGGTTTATTCCAAGAGATAAATGGTGTGTTAGAGTACCTTCCGTTAAGCTCCCCCACATGTGTATTACGTTTGCCTTCGCCAATAACGTATTATGGGGTCGTTAAACGTGTGACGAAAAAGTTAAATTTACGTGTTCTGTTCATTTTATTTTATAAAACGAATTCGTTATATCAGTAAATCGACGACGACGATGTGGTAATGTTCCACAACGCCATTTGTCAAAATTTACCAGAAATGTGGACACTCTTTGTGGTCGGCGATGGTGGTTATGGTGGAAATCCATCAAGTACAAACCTGGGCGGTTCAAACACTTTTTACCCCGTTGGTGTCAATTGTAGAAATCCAAGCACACTCTTCCCCGACGGTAGTGGTGCAAACCTATATGGTCCAAGCACACTCTTCCATACCGGTTGTGCTCTTGGTGGAAATCAAAGCACTTTCTTCCCTAGTGGTGCCAGTGGTGAAAATCCAAGCACCTTCTTCCCTTATGATGTTGTTGGTCCCGTTATGGTCTACAAGATGTGTATAACAGTTTGTAGAAGGGGGGGATAAATACAAACACAGTATTTTCAAATTTAAAATATATATTGATAAGAGAAGATCAATACAGATTTTACAAGATTGTTTGCAGAAAGATAAGGTAAGAAAAACCTATCTAAACAATCTAAAGTTTACACACTTAATCTTAGCAAATAAGAAAAGATTTGATGTTAAAGAAATAGAAGAAAGTAAGTTCTATCTGGGAGAGAACTTGTTTAGAATACAATAAAGGGATTCTAACTTGCTCTTGAAGATGAGTGTATTTGTTCTTAGATGTGTGTTTTTTTACTTTAAGCGTTAGAAAGCTCAGAGTAAGGTTTAGAGTAAGAGTATCTCTGCATGGATATAGAACACATCTATTTATACCCATTGCATTAAATGGACCGTGGTAGGGTTAGAACGTGTGTCAAGCCTTAAGGGAAAGGTTTGTCCTTTGCTACAGTGAATAGTACAAAAGCCTATAAAGTTGGTGGGTAATAAAGTCAACTAATCGGCTCCGTACCGTACTAACGTTTAGAAAGGGTATGGATTTGTCCTTTGTGTGTATAAGGACGGGACAACAACAATCGTGCTCAACAAGCTTCTTTTGATTGCTAAATGCTGGAATTATCTGAAGGTCTCTTCAGCGAATAATCTGAAGGTCTCTTCAGCATTCGTTGAGGCTTGGGCAATCTTCACACATATGTATACAGGCTTTGTTGGTCCCTTGAGGGTCTACAAGATAAGTAAAACAGTTTGTAGAAGGGGGGATGCATACAAACACAATATTTTCAAATTTAAAATGTATATTAATAGAGAAGATCAATACAAATTTTACAAGACTGTTTGCGGAAAGATAAGGTAAGAAAACCTATCTAAACAATCTTTGGTTACACACAGAATTTTAGCAAATGAAAAAAGAAACGCTGTAAAGAAAAGTTCTTTTACTTAAGCTAAAGAGGATTAGCAGATGCCGCTGGAAATTCATATTTTGAACCAAAAACTATTGTTCAACCTGACAGTTATTTGGTTTAAGATTTGAACATGTCTCCGATACAGTCTCCCAACCCGTACCTGATCTGGTCTCCTGAACAGTCAAAACCTTTGTGGGAGGTAGATATGGCCGAAGATGTTTATGTTGCTGCCGAAATTTTAAACATACCCGAAGACGATAACTCCGACGCTGAAGAATTCCAACCGGTAAGGAATAGTTTTTGGGGTATGCTCGACCTAACACCTTGTCCAGACCCAGTTATCAAAAGTAGATAAGGAAACATTTCCTACCAGCATACATCTCATGTCAAAGTTTTCCAAACCTTTGACTCGAAGGAAGCACTGAAGCTCAAATTGGGATTAAAGTGTGTCTATGAAAACTTTCAGATCAAGGTAAAGAAATCATCCAAACACCGTATGAGGCGATGTGTCACTCTTATTTGGACTGTGATTGGCGTTTAATGGTTGTCTCTATCGATGGTACCAGTATGTTTTAGGTATGGAAGTTCCACGATGAACACACATGTTCAAGGTCCCAAGTCCATCCAAACCACCGTAATGCGAATAAAAAAGTTTTGGGTCATATATTGGCATGGAGTTTAAAGGATTGTAGGAGAGTGTACCGTGGTAAAAAAATCATGGAAGATGTGAACTAACGGTTCAATATTAGCATCTCCTACAACCAAGCATGGCGAGCAAAGATGTATGTCTTGCAACTGTTGAGGGGGACCCCTGAATTGTCGTTTAACCTACTCCTGGTTTATTGTCATAATTTGAAGCTAACAAATCCGAGGACTGTGACAGAGATCGTTGTTGATGGACTTGGGCGATTTGACATGTTGTTTGTCGCACTTGGTTATATGGTAATAATTTTTGTCATATTTTTTAATTATTGTCATAATTTTATGTTCTGAAATTACATTTTTAATCTCGTTCATCTGCAGATTCGATCGTTTCTAGAACATATGAGACCGCTTCTTATAATGGACTTTGCCCATCTGAAGGGGTCATACGTTGGCACTATGTTCTTAGCGGTCGGCATGGATGGAAACAATGGTATCGTACCTATTGCAATGGGAGTGGGGAAGACAGAAAGTGGCACGTCATGGACATGGTTTTTACGTAAGCTGAGGCAGTGTATCGGTGAAGTTCCCAATTTAACCTTCGTAACCGATTTGATAAAACTAAACTAAAAAACTAATTGTAAAAGTATAAAATGTAATTTATAAACGATTTGATCTTAAGAAGTTGTGCAGCTTCAAAAACTTGTACCTAAAGCAAAGAAGGATGTACCTCTCTTAAAGATTTAATAATAACTGTTTAACATGTTTCATAATATAATATAGATAAATAGTATAAATCTGTAGCAAAAAAACATATTTAGTTAATCTATACTTATTTATTTTAAATATGATAAAAGTATAAAATGAAAAATAAAAACGTACGAAATATTAAACAAATTAATTCGTAATATCTATTAGTATGATTAAATCAAAAAAAAAAAATATTCAATATTGAGTTTATCTTAAAGGTACTGATGACATGATTCTAATGATGTAGTTTGTAAACAAATAAATATTTTTTTAATGTGTTTTAGTTCATATACAATTTTCTATATTAATATGATAACGGCGTAAAATAAAAAAACAAAAAACATAATGGATATAATTTAAATCAAATAACTAATTATAAAGGTATAAAATGTAATTTATAAATTAAAATAGTTTAATTTATAACGGTCGGGGTCGGAGGTTGTGCTGCTATACAACCTTGTACATTTAGCATAATAAAGT